TACTTTTGTAACTTATTTAAGAAGTCAATGGCTGCGTTCAGCAAAGAAAATTAATCAATTAGCGCTTAGTGATTCTTTAATATAATTGGTTCCTACACTAAGATCCAACGATGAGCTAAAAGCAAGGAATCAATCATATTAAAGAATCACTAAGCACTAACTGATTAATTTTCTCTACTGAACACACCCGATATTTCTTAAACAAAGCGTTTACGAGCAAACTTCCAGAGAAAAATTTTGTTTATTTCCAGGTTTTAAATTCACATTTTAATTTTGATGATTTAACACGGAAACACCCAATATCGATTGATTATAATTTACAATTATTAATCGTTTTAATCTATTATTTATCATTATCTATTATATTAATTTACGTGAATTATGTTAGTAGGATATTTATAATGTTATCAATCGAGAGACTTATGTATATACAATTTTAAAACTTATATAATGCTCATCAATAATGTTAGAAATAATGAAAAAAAACAACGTAAAAAGCAAAATAACAGATCACAAATTAAATAAATTTAATCACTTTAATTCACAATAAACTCTATTAAATAAATAAATTCTACTTCTTTCATTATTTCTCTTGATCAGTTGTATTTATTCGGCCGAATGTCTTACATATTGCTTGACCTAACTACCCCTCAATCAAATCTCATTATTGCGACAATAGTTCTTTCTTGTAGTGAGAACACGAGAAGATAGAACACATCAAAAATTTATTGACTACACGAGCTGCCGAGTGACGGCGGACTGACTGAATCCGTCGACATCGCGCCGGAGGAGGTCTGTGAGACAAAGAGAGAGAGAGAGAGAGAGAGAGAGAGAGAGAGAGAGAGAGAGAAAGCATCCCCATCTCGCTCGCTGACGCGCTTTGGGTCGAGTCAGGTCAGCAATACCTCCACAGCATCATCCCTTGAAACGCGAACGAAAGGTCGCGCTGAAGGTAATCGAAGGACGAGATGATTTCAAGAGCGCAAGGGAGAGCATTATAAAAAAAAATCAAGTGTCAAAGTCAGACAAATCTTCAATTATCTCGAGTGTCTATTAATGCTCGCAGTGGATGAATCTTTGCTAAATAAGTATATCAGCGAATCCGGTCACTGCTCTGCGCGGCACTGTTAAATTCATAATGCCAAATTAGACCCAATTTAAGTTATTTTTAATCATTTCTATAGGTCGTCATTGCTCTTACTCAATACTTATGTCGTTGATTAAATTAAAATAATTAAGGCAAACAATTTAACTCAAGAAAAAATATTAACAATATTAAACAAAGTATCTTTTAAAACCGTAATGTGGATACACAATAAATAAAAAAAAAATAAAGACTCTTCGATCAAATTTATTAAATCTTATATATAATTTAAATTTATATATTATATATCCAATCTTGCAAATTGTTCTGAATTTAAATTCCAATCTTGAAACGCAACTCTAACAAAATTAGAGTAGTAATATCACAAATTAAATTGATAAGCAATTTAATAATATTAATGCTCATAAGTATCTTAGAAAGATTTTAATAATTTGACGTTGAGATAAGCATTTAACCTGTAAATAATTTTATTGCGAAAAATATTACCTCAAAATACATATTTGACTCAAATTTACATAATTTATTATTTACTAAGTGCATACGCTAATATAAATGTTGTTTACATTGAAACGAATTGATTTACACACATTTTGATATATATGAAAGTTAAAAATAACAAAATGTTATTTAACTCAAGAGATTTTATTGTTATTGCTCCTTTAATGTCTAATAGTGATGCACACACACAAAGAGATTGAACATAAACTTATTTAATTGTAAAAATATAACAGAAATATCATGATCAATAAAATATCTATTGTTAACATCAATGCATTGTGAGGAATTTATATCATTTTATCGCACTTATCAACATGCTATATTTTCAAGTACTTCACTACTAAATAAAAAATTTCTTTACTATAAAATAATATTTTTAAAAAATTCAAAACTAATTTTTTAGATTCGATTTTATTTGTAAGATTTAAAAAAAGTTGAATATAAATTTTTTAATTGTATCTAATGTTAGAAAGTAAAAAACTATTCATTGAAAAATAGTTATGTAAAGATGTTAGGCGAAACAATCAATCTTGTGCACACACAAAAATTATGATATCAGATAATTAATATCTAAGCATGTCATCATCATTATTTTCATTACATTATTGTTACTATCATAACATTATGATAATATTATTATCGTAATATTATAGTCATGTATTTTTTACATTAAAAACTGTAAAGTTTTAGAAATTTTTATTTATAACATCATAATTAGAATGTGTAATTTGTAATTTTTGCGCAATAATTCAACCGATAGTTATGATAACGAATCAGTCACGCGATAGATCAATTGCGACTTGAATGAAAATAATTTCACATTTGTCATCATTGCACTGTTCTAAGAAGAGAAATCATAAGATCGTGTCTATACTATTATCAGTGCAAAGAAAGGATTTAATCATTTTAATCATTCACAACAAAAGAAAAGGAAAGAGAAGGAAAGACTCGCGTCCTTCCACTTTCTCATCTTACTCAGAACTCTTCGATATCGAGAAAGTGCCACCGCGAACATCAATAAATACTCGGTACCGCTGACAATTGAATGCGGAGCCGCCTTTAACCGCGTGAGAGAACCCCTCTATCGATGACGATCGTGTGAACGCCGTGAACGGAAAGCGAAAGCATGAAACGGGGAAACAAAAAGTCGTGCAACAACACAATCTCCTTAGGACGCGATCCGTGATCGCGCAGCCGGAGTCTCCGCGTATCGAGGACGAGCCGCGAGCGGACGGAGAGCCGAGAGGATTCCGAGCGGGCAACCTGCATTCTGCCTACCATCCACAATCTATCTACGTTTGTTTACCCTACGGAATCCCTTTGTTTCGGCGCGCTTTCCGCACCGGCGCGGCGCGGACGACCACGAATCAAGATCCACGGCCGAAGGGTCGCGTGTCGCTCGTAGTTCGATCATAGTTAGAAGGAACTCTCAGAATTGGAATTCTCTCTCGATTCCCTTTTTCGCACGGCTGTCAGTGCATCGCCAAATAAGGTAGAGAGGCAGCCAAGCCGGTCGAGCTCCGGCGAACCGAGCCGAGCCGAGCGGAGCTGAACTGAAAGAAAATTATGTGTCGCGCGGAGTCGAGTCGCTCGCGACTTCCGGGCGGCAATATAACTCAATCTCAACAACTGACACGCCGACGTCGCCGATGACGCGACGCGACGCGACGCGCCAACGGCCACGCGAGGCGCGTACGCGCGCGCGACAACGAGGAACGAACACGCGAGAACTTACCGAACTCTGCGGGGAACTGGTAACGCTCGGGGAACGCTGCACTGTGACCAACGCCATGGTGATGCGGCACCACCGCCGTCACGTTCTCACGACGCGGCAAAAACGTTCGCTCGACACTGTTCTCGTGCGCGCACGTACGATCGTGCCGTCAGGAGCACGGAAAACCCGTCATTTTTCGCGCACCTTTGACAGTATCACGCTCGCGACGGCCATGTTCGATACAGTCGACCATCAACGGTAGCGCAACGCGCATGCTCACACCACGGTCACCCTTCGTCTCCTCGCCCCTCTTCCACATACCAAGCTGTCGACCGACGCGCACGATACGCGCGCGAATCCGCCTTATCGCGCGCTGTCCGATGACGTCACGTTTCTGAATTTTCCGACGCACGCAGCGCGATCTCGCGGTGCAATCGCGCCGATATCTTCCCCTGAATTTTTCTTCTCTTCTCAATTCGCTGATAAATAATATTGAGTCCTTTTCAACAAGAGGCACAGATGACGTAGTGAATTATTTTATTTTTTAACACTCTGTTTAACACTGACGAAATAAGAATTGGCAAACAAAGATGTAATGTGATTCACTGTGTTTACAGCTATTTCACTATGTCATTTGTATTTCTTGCTGGGAAACATCTACTATTGCTCGCGAGATTCCGATTTAAGTGATTCCGATTAAGAGAGATTGACGGATATATATATATATCGACATTTGATTAGATAATATTTTCTCAAAAAGTGTAGGGGTTAACATTGTAACATTGATAATGATTAAGAATTTCTAAGATCTTGTTTTAATCTATATAGTTTTTCGTAAAAATTTTCTGTTGAGGTACATTTTTATACATTTTTTTTAAATATTTTACGTTTGAAATCCATTTTCAATGGAATTTGAAACCCTGAGTACAGTATTATAAATAAAGTATTTCTGACAAGAATATTTTAAATTTTTTAATATTATGATTTGGAAACGTTTACTTGAATAAATCAAATTAATATGAGAAGCGCCAATTATGGTCAAGATTAGATGTTAAGAGTAATATACATTTTTAGAAATCTATATAGTATTTTACATAAAGCTAGAACATTTATTTTTTTATTAAGATTCGATATTTATGGACTATATCTGAAATCAATTTTATCTTTACAGTTTAATTTGCAGTTTATTTAAATATTCATAAAAATCTTTGGCCAATCATGGGTTCCTTTTATACGTCAACGATTCTAGGAAAAATTTGTAGAAACACATAGGAAAATCATTTATCTATTTTATAAATGGTTAAATGATAGACATAAAAAATGTTCCAATTCGTATAAAAATTATGAGAAAAATTTTCACCAGAAAATTTCGAGTTATTTTCACATTATTTATAACAAATATCTATTTAATTATATTTTGCAATTCTTATTTGCCATTTATCCTAATCTTACTTGATGTAATTTAATAATTAGATGTCAAAAAATTGTAATACTTATTGTAATACTTATTAAAGAGATGTAGTGAGAAAATCAAATGCAATAGTCTACCGCTATCCAATGCTAAAGAAACGTGTTTGAGAGAGAGGGAGACAAGAGAGAGAGAAAGAGAATATCAAAACGAAAATAAAGTGCTAACTGAATCATTTTAGCTACACTTTCTGCACTTGGCGTTAAAGTAAACACGCCTTATAAAAACAAATTCGAGCATTTACATGCTGAAAGATGTTATATATGAAGTTATTTAAATGCTAAAACGCAATGTAAACGTTTAAATCGACTAAATATTTGATGTCGTTAATCTATTATTTATTTTTTTACATACTCGCATCTCCAGCGATTCAGTTGATATTGCATCACATTGCGCGCATAGTTACGTGTGTATCGGTCCTAGCTTAATTTGCAAAACATGTGAAACGTTTTCTAAAGCAAAGTTGTATCTTAAAAAAGGGTACTGTAATCAATCGCGTACTTCATTGTTTTCGACGTACTAATCGTTCGTCGAAAGCGCTTCAGTTTATCTGAGTTTATCCCTCGAGTCGAACTCGCTGCAAAAATGTCAAAGATATTTACACCGACGAATCAAATAAGGCTGACGAATGTAGCCGTTGTTCGCATGAAGAAGGCTGGCAAGCGATTCGAAATCGCATGCTACAAGAATAAAGTGGTGTCTTGGAGAAACAAACTGTGAGTTCACTTTTGCCAAAATGATCTGTCAGTTTAACCTAATTTACAGCTTCTCAGTTACTTATTCATATTAATTACACTGTTTTCCGAATGTGTGTGTGATATCACTACCTCTGTTAAATCTCAACAATTCTCTAAGATTTTTTTCTTTTATTTCTTAAATAAATCATCTTAGAAATTTATTAATTCAACTGTCAATTTCAATCATCTAGAAATTTTTTAATTTGCTATTATTCAGAAGATTCCTTTTATTCCCTGTATAATGTGTATATAATTGAATACTTATCATTTATTATTTTTCTTTAAAATCTATTTCAGAGAGAAGGATATTGACGAAGTACTGCAAACACATACAATATTCATCAATGTATCAAAGGGTCAAGTGGCGAAGAAGGAAGATCTCGTGAAAGCTTTCGAAACCGAAGATCAGACTGAAATCTGTAAACAAATCCTTGCCAAAGGCGAACTTCAAGTTTCAGATAAAGAGAGGCACCTGGCATTAGAGTCCATGTTCAAAGATATCGCCACGACAGTTGCCAGTAAATGTATAAATCCAGAAACTAAACGTCCATATCCAGTTACCATGATTGAAAACGCCATGAGGGACGAGATACACTTTTCCGTCAAACCTAATCGAAATGCCAAGCAACAGGCATTGGATGTTATCTCACAATTGAAAGAGGTGATGCCTTTGGAACGTGTTCAAATGAGGCTCAAAATTGTTATTCCAGAAAAAGAAGCTAGGAAATTGAAGGATAAAGTTGTTAAATTTGCAACTAAAATGGAAACAGAAGAATGGGATAATGGATCGTTAACAATAATTTGCTTAATTGATCCAGGTCAATATAGAGGAATAGATGAATTAATACGATCAGAAACAAAGGGCACTGCTTTATTGGAATTAGTTAATTTAAATGAAGTAGTCGAAGGAGAAGAACTCTTGACATAAATCATGACTCGAATTATTATCTTTTTAAACACACTGTTATGCACTGGAGAAATTTGTATTTATTAATTATAATTTATATTTTTAATATATGTTGATAATTTTGTTATAACAATATGGCTAATAAAGTAATTTGCATTTGTATTTACAAGTTGAATTTAAGTAAGTTATCTACATGCGTATCAATAGTATTTTACCAGTATCTTACACTATTCCTATTAAAAAATGCAATAAACATTTTTCATTAAGATTAAGAATTACATTTTTATTTAACTAATTTTATTTTGTTTAAATTTATTCTATTTATTGCAATTTTAGCAATGTAACACATATCCATTCCAAAAATGCATGTGTCTACTTGATGAACATCAAGCACATAGACAAACATTTGATAACAAATAATATTAGAATATTTAGTTATTCTATATTTATTTATATTTGTAACTACTGTATTATATGTACGTGTATATATGTGTGTATATGTGTGTGTGTATTATATTTGTGTGTGCAAAAAGTTAATATCCTACAAAAATTTGTAAATCAGTCCTTTTATTTCTCATCCATCACATCCGCTCGCGGAATATAAATATTTTCCGTACGTTGATCACATTTGGCCGCAATACGTGATACTGTTAGAAGAAAGTCTGATAATCTATTTAAATATGTCTGTGCCTCTTTATCTAGAGCACCCTCTCGTACTAGTGTTGTGATACTCCTCTCGGCACGCCTGCATACCGTTCGTGCAACATGCAGAGAAGCACAAGCTTTTCCACCGCCCTAGTTTTGAAACATTAAATAGAATTGGAATTGACTTGGAAATATGTGTCTATACAGGATGGTCCTTAAATATATTGCCAAAATATTCAAAGAATTCCTCATAGTAAGATCAAAACTACTAATATTCAAGATGAAAATTATTGTCCAAAACGATATCAAAAATATAGGACGTCGAAGTTAAAGGAAAAATTTCGTTTTTTCAAAAACTTCGAAGCTCATTAAAGTTATTTTAATAAAATTTTATGTATGTTTCAAAGCTTGGTTCACTTCTTGATTGAATAAAAAAAATTGTAACTCCAAAAGATGAACTTTTATGTCCTTGAAATATATAGTTTTCAAATTAACCCGAGTGATTTTTGAAATTTTTTAAAAAACACTTCTTTCAGTTTTGACATCATGTTTCTTTGAAACTAATGAATTCGACATACTTATATATATTAAAATTGTTGTACATTTGATTAATTTGTGTAAATGCAAACGTAAATATTTCGAATTATAAAATATATATTTTAATTAATAGCGCTATAAAATATATTGCGGATTTCATAGCTTAATTCATTTTTATGTTTGTATTAAACATATATTTTTCAATTTGTGTATATGACTTTCCTCTTATAAGTCATTTTGCATATATATGATCATACAGTTTTTCCTGAATCACAAAGAGAAATTATCTTTAAAATCTTTTAAAATACTTAAAGACCATGTTGTATACATAAAAAGTAATATCTAGGTAATTACTGGAATGATATAGTCTTCGGGAGGAGGGAGCTGATTCGCGTATTCAAGAATCCATTCTTCCAAATCTTTAGTATGTTTGTTTTCAAAAGACTTAGTCTTTCCAGGCATAGACTTTGATATTGCATGATTCAGATCAAACAAGATCATCTGTACTCTTTTGAGCTTGTCGACATATGGATGCTCAACTTTGCTGTCACAAGCAAACTCTCTCGCCAGTCCTATGTAAGACGACAACTCGTCAGTCGCCCCCAGAGCGTTGAAGATCATATCATCCTTTGGCTTCGTATCTCCGGCATCTGTGATTGTCATTCCGGAGTCGCCGTCTCGCGAAAACACTGCTACTTCAGCTACATTTGATGTTGTAGTACCTCTACAACGATGTCATCATCAGTAAACTAACAATTATGTTATCTCAATATTATACTTTCTCTACATAATGCACACAGTGCACCAAATCTGATTTAGATCCATTTTCAATATAGATTAACTTTAATCTTGGTTCAACTTACTCTTCGTCTTTTTCTAATCTTTAGAACTAGAAAAAGACAAAGAATAAGTTGAACCGAGATTAAAGTTAATCTACATTGGTGGAAACGGACATTATTATCTATATGTAACATTAATTTAAATCTCAGTTTTTAACTTATTCTTGTGTTTACCTTTTTTTTTAATATTAAGTATTTTTAATACTAAAAAAGGGCTTAAGGCCTAGTTCCATCAGTGTAAAATTAATCTCAGTTTAATTCTCAGAATTAAAAAAAGATTAATAGTAAGTTAAACCGAGATTAAAGATTAATCTTACATTGGTGGAACTGGGCCTAAACGTAATATATATTTCTAGCATAGTGCATTTTGAGGTTATAAAGAGTATTTGAACACGTACTTATGTCTCAAAGATATACACTGCACTCCATTCTTATATACGACAGTGGAGTTTCTCCACAAGACTTTGATCAATTTCATCTCTCGTGTCACTCGCGATTTAATTAATCCCGTTAACATACTTCACGTGTAATCCTCGATCGTCGATCGCTAGTGACATCGACCGACGCAAAATTAGCGAGCTACGAAATAAAGAACGTTCGTATATACAGCTCTCCAAATGTAAAGACAGATCTCACCCACATATGTGTCGTATGTGAGAGCTAGTGAAATTCTACGAAAAGCGGATAACGATGCGGAAAATAAGAAAATAGAAAAATAAGTATACTATCGCGTGGGTCCGCAATGTCAGATTTTAGCTCATTCAGTTCAGACTTTACGATTGTAAAGAACGCACTCTATAATCTTTCAATGAATTTAAGACAATTCCGATGATAGTGGATATCATTGTCGGAAGCATATCGCTCGCTTTAAGAACATTTAAAAAGTAAATACATCACCGACTTGATATAATGCAAAATTAAATTCCGCGCGCAGACATACGAAAGCCTATGATTTTGGCTTGTTTTTTTTTAGCTGAACTTCTTGCAATGTTCATTTTTTTGCTCTGCAATGTAGAAAGAAAATGAAGAAAAATGTACCGTACGAGAACTTTAGCTAAAAAGAACAGACGAAATAATATTCTTGCGTAATTAAGGTCGGAATAAGACTACGCATTAAAGGTTGAAAGATTGAAATTTGACTAGTCAAAACAATAGGAGCTAAAATTCGTTTATCCTCAGTGGTCAAATTTGAATCTTCAATCTTCAATCTCAATCTTCAATGCGTAGTCTAATTCTGGCCTAAGGAGATGTGCACAATGAAAGAACTATATTGCCCGTATTCATAATCGGACCTTGTATTTAAGGCTTCCTTAAATTTATCTTTAGATGCTCAATAGCTAATAAAATAATTCGTAGAGCATCTAAAGATAAATTTAAGAAAGCCTTAAATATAAGACCTGACTATGAATACGGGCATAAAGAACAGAGAATACGAATTTCAACCTATCAGAAACTGTATATTTCACAATACATGATTTCTGATTTTGATTGAGATTCTTACACCCGAATAAAGAGACCAGCTTCTTTCTGTTACCGTCAAAATCACTATCGCCAGTCACATCCATTTTCAATGTAGCAACTACGTGACTACGTACATTTCCTGACACTATCGATAAAATTGTATCGTCGAAAATATTTATATGTGGTTTGTCTCTGTACTAAATCCTCAGGACAGAAGCGTGCAGACTATCCATAAAAGGAATAGTTTAATGAGTCCTTGAACAAAAAATTTTAATTTCACATCTTCTACATATATGTAAATAAAAGTTCTTGAATTTTAATAAACGAAATTGAAAATTCAATCAAGTTAATTTAGTGAATTTTGTCTTATAACATATCTTACGTAAAATTACGTAGTTATGTTTCTTTATACAAATTTTCAGCTCGTTTTTACCAAACATAATTACTAGTATATATCAAAGTCTCTAATTAGCAATTATAAAGACTTTTAATAAATCAATCTTTTCTAAACATATATTATCAATTTAAGATACAATCTAGCAAAAACGAGCTATAGAGGCCCTCCACCCCCCCCGCCAATTTTATCGGCGGTCCTCTTTTCTCTATAAGTATACACACCCCTAAAACAAACAAGCTATTAATAAATTTAGTAGCCTGTTTTTGCAGGTAAGTATATCTTTAATTTATTTTTTCATTTTTATGTCATGTTTCGTCGATTTCGTGTAATTTACATCAATAAAGTAATAAAAAATTTAATTTACTACAACAAAAGATAAATGCTATTTGTATAGATATTCAATACTGATATACATTTCAATAAATATGTAATTTATTAATAATTATTGTGCAAATTACGAAAGTAAATATGATAACATTTATCTGGACATAGTTTACATAAATTCTATATCACGTACCTAATACTATTATACATATATTTATTTACAATCAAATTAATTATTAACGCGTTACATAATTTACACATGTATAGAATTTTACAGAAAAGTTTAATTTCAGGAGAGCTGAAAAGGCAATAAAATTTAAAATTAATTTGGTTTATTTTCATATTTAATAATTGGAACGGGATGCTGATAATTAAATAAAATTTTTAATTAATTTAAAATTTTATTTAATTTTTAATCCCTCCTTTTCAATTATCAAGTATTATATTATGTGTACAGATGATATCTATACAGATGATATCCCTACCTACATACAAGTATTATAGTTTACTGTTTAGATTTATTATGTGATATTTTTTAATTTAATTATATTTATTTTTTGATTTTTTAAATAAAATTTAATTACTCAATTGCGAAATTTATTTAAGTGTTATTTAATTTGTAATAATTTAATTTTTTAATTTAAAATGATTGTATTTATCCCTACCATTTTTATCCATACTTATTGTTCCTACCTATACAGTCTCTATCTATCCATACTTATTCTATCTACTTGTATTTTCATTTATTTGTGTTATATTTACACCTTTCTCCACCCGTGTGTTTCTACCTACTTCATATACAATAATACGGCGAATATATGTAATACGTTAATGATTACAATCATCAGAGAAAGTAGCTTTCCAATTATAAGAAATTCTTTAATACGATACGCTGGTGTTTGACTGATTGCTTTTCTTTACGAATGGATCTTGATAATTTGACTAGACTAATGACGTAGAATCAGAATACATTAAATTCGCTCTCTACTATGAAGATAATTCTTCTTTGTATTGGATTCTAATCAGCGGTTAGAATCACAAGGCAGAGGGACATTGCGATGTGATTAAATTATTAGAATATAATTACCTTAAATGTATATTAATGACTTTTTATCACGATATTAATAAATTTTATAATCGCAAGTTAATAATTAATAGTAAATACGATTTGTTAGTATTTCATTCCACGTTTATCAATATTTTATTAAACATTGATTTAGAAAAATCTGTGTTCTCGTATGTTTCGACGTTTTCGTATAATTCCGCTACTACCACAATTTGTTAATTATGCTCCTATATTATTATTTTTATTATATTTTGAACAGCATTTCTAATTGTATATCGTATTGTAAACAATTATTATAATTGTAATATTGACTTGTATAAAGGATTACAATAAAAAAGACAATATTAAAAAAGTTGGTGCAATATGATTAGCGAAAAAAAATACCCGGACAAAAATATTTTATTTATACTTATATAAAATTATATATCATTTTATATAATTTTATATATAATTAGATATAAAATATTTTTTTCCCAACTAGACATACAAGTAATAAAATAAGTCAAAAATATACTTACCTGCAAAAATAGTCTACTAAATTTATTAGTAGCTCGTTTTTTTACAAGTGAGTATACTTACAAAGAAAAGTGGACCGCCGATAAAATAGGCGGGGGTGGTGGAGGGCCTCTAGCTCGATTTTGCTAAATTAAACCATAATTCAACGATATATGATCGAAAAGTTTGAAGTATTTAAAGACTCTATATATTTCTTATATTTAAAGACTCTACAATTGTTAGTGATTATAGAGGCTTTGGAACATACTTACATACTAGTAATTGTGGTTGGTAAAAACGGGCTAAAAAGTTTCATAAAAAAATTTCATAATATTCTATTTTGATGCAGACGCATATTAAATATAAGACTTCGCTAAATTAACTTATTTGAATATTCAATTACATTTATTAAAATTCTACAACTTTTATTTACATAGTAGAAGATGTGAAATTAAAATTTTCGTTCAAGGATCCATTAATAAACACATTGTGTTTAATTAAAAGATTTGTTAAATAAAAATGTAAAGATTTTTATTGCGAAACCAGAATTCAGATTTTCTTGAATTTTACGCGAATTTTGTGTTATGATATGCATTTTGTTTACGAAATATCTTATATTATAAAGAAACTACGTAAGCAAAAGTATTGTAAAAATGTCAGCAATTTATGTATTTTATATTTTATATTAAAAAGATTTAATTCTATTCTTTATGTTATATTATATTTTACTATATTATGTCTAATTTCTTTGTATATTATAATTCTTTCCTTATGTTCTACATTA